GTAAAATAGAGTGGTTGAAGCGCTCAGAACCATAAAAAATATTTTTATTTCATTACACTGTTCATGTTGAGAATAGTGAGCTGGAAAACTCCCCTTCATGAGGTACGTATTCTCACTACAAGAAGGACGTTGATTTAACTCGAACTACCTCTTCAAACGTCTTTTTGAACCGAATATAATGAATAAAATGAGGATTCCACTGAGATAATATCACATAAAACCCATTTTATAAGTATTTCACTCAGTCACACTACCAGCACCATTGAACAGTGATTGTACACAGTGCCCATACACCTGAAACTCTTTTATCACTGCATTTAAGACAGAAGTATATAAACCTCATTTATATTTGCTGCTTCAACTCCAGATAGGCATTAGATTTGTCAGCTGCACCCCAACAGTCAAATTGTACCATGGCCTAATCTTCGCTCCAACATTCTGCGTAAAATTGTACGGCGAAGTGACTACCCCACGTATAGGCATTAGATTTGTCAGCTGCACCCCAACAGTCAAATTGTACCATGTTCTTATCTTCGCTCCAACATTCTGCGTAAAATTGTACGGCGAAGTGACTACCCCAAGTATAGGCATTAGATTTGTCAGCTGCACCCTAACAGTCAAATTGTACCATGGTCTAATTTTCGCTCCAACATTCTGCGTAAAATTGTACGGCGAAGTGACTACCCCACAGTATAGGCATTAGATTTGTCAGCTGCACCCTAACAGTCAAATTGTACCATGGTCTAATTTTCGCTCCAACATTCTGCGTAAAATTGTACGGCGAAGTGACTACCCCACAGTATAGGCAATAGATTTGTCAGCTGCACCCTAACAGTCAAATTGTACCATGGTCTTATCTTCGCTCCAACATTCTGCGTAAAATTGTACGGCGAAGTGACTACCCCACGGTATAGGCATTAGATTTGTCAGCTGCACCCCAACAGTCAAATTGTACCATGGTCTTATCTTCGCTCCAACATTCCGCGTAAAATTGTACGGCGAAGTGACTACCCCACGGTATAGGCATTAGATTTGTTAGCTGCACCCCAACAGTCAAATTGTACCATGGTTTTATCTTCGCTCCGCTCGCTCTGCGTAAAATTGTACGGCGAAGCACGCAAGACGAAATTTGATACAGAATTTCATGAAGGAAAACATGTTTGAATCATTGAGGAAGTAAAAGCTGGGGCAGTGAGTAAGGATGGAAGTAGAGTTTTTTTTTCCTAAGCATCTGTGTGGGACAGAATCTTAAATCCTAGAATCTG